TGGCGCCAGGGTTCCCTGGGTTCAGGACCTGGCAAAAGGTTGCCACATTCACTCAGCTGGACAGTCCACAGAGCAAGGCTCCGTTCTCTGAACCTGTCCCCACACCTTTAGCCTAAAGCAGTGGTTCTCAACCTTCTGGCCCTTTAAATACAGTTCCTCATGTTGTGACCCAACCATAAAATTATTTTCGTTGCTACTTCATAACTGTAATGTTGCTACTGTTATGAATCGTAATGTAAATATCTGATATGCAGGATGGTCTTAGGCGATCCCTGTGAAAGGATCGTTCGACTGCCAAAGGGGTCACGACCCACAGGTTGAGAACCGCTGGCCTAAAGGCTGTCTCCGGCCTCGGGGCTCCTCCCAAAAGCTCCGCCTGGCCACTAGCTTGCTCTGTAGCTGGCATGCGGTCTACCTTCCGCTGCCCCCCCGAGCCTGGAGTGAAAATAAGTTGGGTGGGGGAGAAGTAGAGGAGCCCAAACCAAACCAATCCAACCGGGGGCCCCAAAAGAAGCAACATGGGGGCTGTCCAGACAGTTCCAACACCGCTGTTCAAGGGCAAGGTCACCGATAACACGAGGCATGGTCAGGCCCCATGTCCTCTCCAAGAAGCAATCATCACCCCAGTCCGGCTGCCCCTTCCTCAGAGCTCCCCTATGCACGACCCCCAGGTGGCCCTCCCCCCGGCTGGGTGCGGGACCCCCGGCTGCCCCCCTGCACGCTGCGCCAGGCTCTCACCTTCTTCCTGGACATCACTTCCCCGCCCAGCCCTCGCCTCCTTCGACTGCTCAGCACCCTGGCTGAAGAGCCCGGCGAACAGCAGGAGCTCGAGACCCTCAGCCAGGTTGGGAGCCACCCAGTGCGGGGAGCAGGGGCTAGTGAGGCTGGATGAGCTGGGGGGAGGGGGGCCTGCCTGGCTCGCAAGTGCTGACCCAGCTCAGAGTCGCTAATGCATCTAGAATGCTCAAGGTCTGGAAGAGCTGGGCACGGAGAAGGTGCGCAGGAAGGCTGGGCTGGGTGGGGTCAGAAGGTGAAGTCAGCAGGCAGCACGGGAGGTTCCAGCACGCTGCACCCTACCCCCCAGGACCCCCGGCGCTACGAGGAGTGGAAGTGGTTCCGCTGCCCCACGCTACTGGAGGTTCTGGAGCAGTTTCCGTCGGTGGCACTGCCTGCCCCCCTGCTCCTCACCCAGCTGCCCCTGCTCCAGCCCCGGTACTATTCCGTCAGCTCAGCACCCAGTGTCCACCCACGGGAGATCCACCTCACAGTGGCCGTGCTGGCATACCGGACCCAGGGTGAGGCTGGGGAGGTGGGGCAGGGCCAGGGCCAGGGCCACACAGTGACCCTGGAGTGGGCCCCTCACTGACCCCTTCTCCTCCCAAACTAGATGGGCTTGGTCCCCTGCACTATGGAGTCTGCTCCACATGGCTCAGCCAGCTCAAGGCCGGAGACCCTGTGCCCTGCTTCATCAGGGGGTAAGTGAGCACATCAGGGGATGGAGTGGACAGACAAGAAGAGAATGTCTGTCCGAGCAGGGGCAGAGAAAGAGCCACATGGGCGGGCAGGACAGATGGAGGACTCTGTGGGGGCCACACAGGGTGCGGCTGGAAGCGCTGGTGAGGGGTGTGACTGGGAGCAGGGAAGACCCACTTCACATATCAGGGACCGGGTGTCCGGCTGAGCCACTCCAGGACGTGGGCTAAGCTTTGGGCCTTTCACCAATTTGGATGTAGGGTCCTGCTCTGAAACAGTGGCCCCCAGAGGCAGGGCTGGGTTCAGCCTGAGGTTGGGAGGCACAGCCCCTAGGCCCGTGGTCGGCAAACTGCGGCTCACAAGCCACATACGGCTCTTTGGCCCCTTGAGTGTGGCTCTTCCTAAGCCTTAGGAGTACCCTAATTAAGTTAATAACAATGTACCTACCTATATAGTTTAAATTTTAAAAATTTGGCTCTCAAAAGAAATTCTAATCGTTGTACTGTTGATATTTGGCTCTGTTGACTAATGAGTATACCGACCACTGCGCCTAGGCACTGTGCCTGTTCAAGGACAAGCCCCTCTCAGTCCAGGGAGAACTAGTTCAGTTACCGTAGGATCAAGGAGGACTCAGGATACCCTCCCCTCATGCTGTGTAAGTCTTGGCCCATCTAGCAGCGAGGAGCCGAAAGTCTCAGGCGGGACAATGAAGAGTTCCCAGGGTGGCACCAGCTAGGCCCAGTGACCCAAACCCATCCAGGAGGCGAAATTACAAATAGGCTGTGACCTACTGAATACAAACTACCTACCAATACGGAGACTAATAAGCACACTCAGGGAACTCGTAAACCAAGACTGGCCTTCCCTTCCCCTAGTTCCTAACTCTCCTCAACTGAGACATCAAAATGGTCTTCAGTTCAGGTTTGCACTGTGTTTCCTTTCACCCAGCTAGCAGAGTTCAGTTACTAAACACGTCGTGCCTACTATGAACTAGACGCGGTCATAGCACTTGACAAAGCAGTCACTCCGTTGCCAGCAGAAGCCGAGTTCTCCTCTCTCCACCCCGCACAAGTGGTAGGACTGGGAAGCGGGGAAGCAAGAGGCCTGACGAAATGTCTCTCTGCTAGGGCTCCCTCCTTCCGGCTGCCACCCGACCCCAGCTTGCCCTGCATCCTGGTGGGCCCAGGCACTGGCATCGCCCCCTTCCGGGGATTCTGGCAGGAGCGGCTGCACGACATTGAGAGCAAAGGTTCGGCTGGGGGCCAAGGGATGACGGGGTCACAATCTAGGGACAAAGAGGTGGGGGCTGGAGTGCAGGAACCAGGTAGGAAAGAGGGCAACGAATGGGCCACAAAGGTGGTCTAATAAGTTCAAGGGGAGGGGAAGGCCTAGAGGCCAGGGCAGTGCCCGTCTGGCCTCCTGGTGCTGGGCACAAAGTCGGGGTTGGATTGGATTAAGGACAAAGAGAACTGGAAGGGGATGAGGCTGAGACTCAGAAGACAGAAATGCCCCAGGAAGACTCACCCAGGTGAGGCCAGGACCCAAGAGGTACAGGGTGTTCAGGTTGGGCACAGGGTGCCCAAGGCCTCCCGTAAGTCACAAGAAGGGGGGCTGTGACTGAGAGGACGGTAGGAAGTGGGAGCTCAAGGTGGGGGGAAATATGGGTTGGAGCAGGGAAGGAGCCAGATAGAATCCCCACTGCAGCTCAGAGGGTGCAAGGACAGCAATTCTGGGTACTGAGCCCATGTTCTAGCGCCACACACTGGCCACTGGAGCCCAGGAAAGGCACCGCCTCCGGTGAACGTGGGCTTCCCTGTGCATCAGGATCAGGCAGGGCTTCTGAGAAATACGTCCTGCGCTCACCTAGGAGCCAAACAGCCCAGAGTGGTTGTTTCTGCCCGAAAGGCGGGGGCTGTCAGCCTGGGCTGCGAGAGTAGCCAACAGGAGGTGCGCCCCGCCCGGGGAGGCAGCCTCCCAACCCGCAGCGCTGCTTGCAGGCCTGCAGCCCGCCCCCATGACGTTGGTGTTTGGCTGCCGATGCTCCCAGCTTGACCACCTCTACCGCGATGAGGTGCAGGGTGCCCAGCAGCGCGGGGTGTTCGGCCGCGTTCTCACCGCTTTCTCCCGGGAACCCGACAGCCCGAAGGTGGGGACCCCGGCGGGCGCAGGGGCAACCTGAAGCGAAGGATGTGGGCAGGCCCGGCGCGCACGGTGGAGGGGGGGGGGGGGATCAGGCCCAAGCCCCGCCCCGCCCCCTTAGTGAACACCCTCCGCTTGGCCCCTCAGCTCCCGCCCAGCCCCATCATTGGCCCAAGGTCCTAGGGGTCTCCCCCACCCTCCCCCAAGCCCCGCCCCTGTTCCACCCACCGCTCCAGACCTCACCCCAGTTCACTTTGGCCCGGGCGGCCCCTGACCCTGCCTCCCCTCAGACCTACGTGCAGGACATCCTTCGGACAGAGCTAGCCGCGGAGGTGCACCGCGTGCTGTGCCTCGAACGGGGCCACATGTTTGTCTGCGGCGACGTCACCATGGCAACCAGCGTCCTGCAAACGGTGCAGCGCATCCTGGCGACAGAGGGCAACATGGAGCTGGACGAGGCCGGCGACTTCATCGGCGTGCTGCGGGTGCGAGGGCGCGGGCGAGGGCGGGCGGCGGCCGGGTAGGGGCCCGGCGTGCTCCGGCCGAGTCTGGCTGCCGGGTTCTGATCTCCTGTTTTCCCCGCAGGATCAGCAACGCTATCACGAGGACATTTTCGGGCTCACGCTGCGCACCCAGGAGGTGACCAGCCGCATACGCACCCAGAGTTTCTCCTTGCAAGAGCGGCATCTGCGGAGCGCAGTGCCCTGGGCTTTCGACCCGCCCGGCCCCGACACCCCTTGCCACTGAGAGCCCTCTTTCTTGCTTTCCACCCAGTTCCCGGAGAGGGGCCGTAGTCCACACTGGCCCTGCAGCTCTTTCCTCGGCTGCCCAGGCCCGGCCACCTCTCCCTCCCTTCCCCAGGTGCCTTCCCCCGTCTGTGCAGAGTCCGCGGAGACTCGCCTACCACCTGGGAATGAGCGACGTCTTTCTCTCTCTAGGCCTGGTTCCCTACCTCGGGTCTGACCAATCTGGAAGGCCCCTCCCAGCAGTGGTATTCCAAAGCCTCCTGTCACCCTCTTCGTGTTCTTTTTAAAAATATATATATTTTTATTGAGTTCAGAGAGGAAGGGAGAGAGAGCTAGAAACATCAATGATGAGAGAGAATCATTGATCAGCTGCCTCCTGCACGCCCCACACTGGGGATGGAGCCCACAACACGGGCATGTGCCCTGAGCGGGACTCAGAAGGTAATCAATCTCCTGGTTCATAGGTTGATGCTCAGCCACTGAGCCACCCTCTCCGTGTTCTTTAGGTGGATTTTAGATTTCCCTTACCTCTCTCAGGAGTATTTTATCTCGAAACCTAATCTCCAAATCATTCAAATATTTATTATTGAAGATTCACCATAAGAGACTGGACCAGGTGTTATGAGAGCAACTGAGATGCCTAACCCAGCCCTGTGGATTAAAATTACAGAATGACAAGCTCTGTCTTTTAACTTGTGCGGACGTGGGGGTGGTAATTCTTGGAGAGCAGTCCTACCCTGCATACTCCACTTTGACCCAGCTCTCTAGGAGCCAGGCTGTCAGACACAGGCATTCCCGGGAGCTGCTCCCTCACTCTTGGCTGAGAAGCAGTACCGCCCTCTGCTGTCAGGAATGAGAACACTGGAGACCAAGGGCGTAAAGATGAGCAGCCGTGAGCAACCTTTACCACTGGTTTCAGACGGGATGGGGAGCCACACCCACTTCCTCAAACGTCATACTGATGCCAAACTCCAAAAACATCAGCCCTCGCTAGTCTTTCCACTCACAAGTCCCCGTGTCCCCCCTCCACAAATCCCGTGGGAACCTGAAGAACCAACTGCCTCCCAGGCACGTTCCTCACGGTTTCCCATACACTGAGCTTGGCCTCCACCTTGGCCTTGCCTCCCACCTGGGACTTGTTCCCAGGTAACTGTCCCAGGACAGCTAATGGGGGGGGGGGGGTCGCCTTCTCCCCTCCATGTGGGGATTGTCTCTAAGACATGTTTCCAGATGCCCTTGCATCTCCTCTCCTACTCTTTCTCTGCTCTCTGGGGCCAGATGGTCATTGACCCCCAAGTCCTGCCCAACTAAAGCATCTCGGGGGCACCCCTAAAAAGGGCTTGGTGTGTTCTTCCACTCCACCTCTTCTGGTCTCCTGGGCTGGAGAAGCTGGGGAACCTGAGGGAGGAGAAGCCTCTTGGCAAGCAGTCCAGGGGTTTAGGTTCGAGAGGTGACCATCCCCCTCACCTCACATACCCACCCCTGTTTGCATTCCTCCGAGTCTGGCTCCATCTAATTTCCTACTCATCCCCTTCCCCGCCCCCATTAGACAATACTGACTCTGAGGAGCCCTCTCAGGCAGTGCTATGGGCCTGGCCAGGCTCCCTCTGAGTGTCCGTGGTCTGAAAACCTCCAGGGAACAGATTCTGGGTCCTCTGGGTTCTCCACTGCTGTCTGGGGCTGGAGGCAGGACTGGAGCCTAATGAGAAAAGCCATCAGCTGGGCAGTGCCCTGGTGCCTGCTATCCCCCCAGGACCTGTCCCCTGCACACCCTGACCGCCTCACCATCACTTGACCAGGATGGCTTCTCCTCATCAGGTGAGAGTGTTTGCGGGGGGCTGGACCAGGGCCTGGACAGGGAGGAGGCTGAGGCCTCGCCCCACAATTCCTGCTGCTGCTGCTGATGGAGCTAAATGGAAGAAAAAGAAATGAGGACTTCCTCCTGCTCGCAGCACGAGGCTCAGGCCCTGGGCTGGGCACAGAGGGCTGTGAAGCCTCCTCCCCAGCCCCTGTCGGATACGCCCTTACCCCGCCTCAGCCTCTATGTTGGGCAGTTGCTTTCTCCCCACATCTTTCTGCACCTCTTTACTCACCTGGTGCAGGTAGATGGCATGAAGACTCATCTCAGCAGAAGCAAGTTCTGGTAGCTGGGCCAGCTTCGGGCCCCCAGTACCTCCAGGGGACACACAGCTGGAACAGAGGGTGGCATAGATCAAAGACATGCCCCTCCCCCGGCACCCCACAGGGAGGGCAGGCTTGACCTCCCCTTCCCAATCATCCACAGTGCTCCCGCATCTTGCACAACCACCCCTACTCCCCTGAATCCGAGGCCCCCAACCCTCACCTGTGGTCCTGGCCAATTCGGGAAATGGAAGCCAGGAGGCTGGCCGTGGCTGCAGCTGGGCAGGGGGCTGTGGGGCTCAGGTCCCGTGGGGGCAGGAAGGGGTGCACCAAGAGGTTAGCCAAGAAGGCCTCTGGCTGCGGGCAAGAGAAGACGGGTCAGGATAGAGGCCAGAAGGGGGGAAGGAGGTCTCAGCAAGGCAGGAGAGCAGGCTGGACCGGTGAGTGAGCAGGTTAATACAAAAGGTGAGGCAGAGGGAGGGGAGATGGGTGGGGCCGGAGGTGGGGGCAGAGGGCTGGCCAGGCTTGGCTCACCAGAGGTGAGGAAGAGTCGCTGAGTACCCCGGGAGTGGCAGGGCTGCGAACCGAGGTGGCGCCCAAAGCGGCTGCATCCTGTTGTACCCGGCCTCGAAGTTGCCCCAGGAACTTGGAGCTGTGCCCTGGGGGGCGCCATTGTGGGTGCACCAGGGAGAACCTCATCAGGGAGAGCTCAGTCTTTCCGTCCTCTGCACGCTGAGACTGCGAGGCCTCTGTCTGTCCTGCCGAGAGCCACTGAGAGAAAAAAAAAAGCCGCAGTGGGAGCCTCGTGGGGTATGAGGGACAGGAAACACTAGCCCCAGTCTTCAGGTGAAAGAACAGAGGCCACAATAGACACTTGCTCAAGGTCACCCAAAAATACAGCAGCAGAGCTGGGACCTGGGTCAAGGCCCAGCACTGGAGGCTGGTGTGGGCTCAGTGTTTTGCCAACTATACACAGCAGACCCGCGGCTAGCCTGGGCCTTGGTGGGGAAGGCCAGTCTTACTCCAGCCCCACCCACTGACCAGCCCATTTCCCAGCCTCTCTGGTGGCCTTCACTCCATTTACTGGTGCTAGGATTATACACACATCATCCTTACACAGCCCTGTCCATTGGCTACAGTCATTGTCCTCAAGGACACTAGGGCGCAGGAAGTGAAGTGAAGTGAACTGGGGGGCAGCCCCTTATCTAACCATCACCCCACACATCCTGGGAAGGACTCCAACCTGAGGGTGGCCGTGGCGCTTCACATCCATGAGGGCAAAGGAACAGATGTCACCAACCCCAGCCACATCCACAGTGAAATGATGAAAAAAGTCAATAATCTCCAGGGCACGAGGGCAAAACCAAAAGAGCAGAAACAGTGGGGTGAGGAGTGGGGACAGGAGCTCCTCCAAGAGGGAGACCTGGGGAAGAAGGGGGGGGGGGTTAAGAAGGGGTTGCTGAGGGTGACCACGACCAAGAGGCCCCCAGGGATGCGGGCCAGGGCAGGAAACCTCCAAGCCAGGCACTCCCCGGCTGCCAGCCCCGGGGCCATTTGTCCCAAGCCCTTTCCGGGACCAGGCGGCTGCACAGCTTCCCAGCGGAGCAGCCCCGCTTGGGTCTGGACCCTCACCGCTCGGTATTGCAGCAGCCGCGCCATCTGCCGGTAAGCGCTGGCCCTGCCGGCAGCACCGGGCTCCTCGGGGAGGTAATGCATGTGGGCCAAGGCCGACTGCAGCAGGAGCTGCGGAGAACGCGCCTGGCACTGCTCCTCCGGAATGAAAGACCTGGAGGGCGGGATCCGGGCGGGAAAGGCGCCTGAAGTTAGGAGGCTGTGGGACGGGGAGGCAGGGCTGGGAGGGGAGGGGGGCTCAGCCCTAAGGGAGGAGGAGTCACCTAATAGGCAGGTCCCGTCGCACCTGGGCAAGGGTGGCCGGGAATCGAGAGGGGGTGGCTGGGGCACGTGGGCTAACGGGGAAGCGTTCTTGTCAAAAGGGGAGCAGGAGCGGGTAGGATGGCGAGCTGGCGGTTCAGAAGCGCTAGCAGGGGGCGCGGTGGGCGTCGCGGCTCGCTGGAAGGGCGTTGGCGGGCCGGTAGGCGCGGCCCAGGCGCGCGCGCAGCTCGTGCGGCAGCTCGTTGAAGTAGCGGAGCTGCAGGCGGGCCAGTCGGGTCCAGCGGCGCGTCCCCAGGGCGCCCGCTCGCGCCGCAGCAGCTCCTCGTGGCTGTAGAAGGCGTGCAGCACCTGCCAGGCCAGCACCAGAGGGCTCAGCGCCAGGTTCACGGCGGCCAGCAGCAGCACGGTGCGCCGCCAGCGCGCGGCCAGGGTGCCCCGCTGCTCATGGCGCTTGTAGGCGTCCGGCAGCTCCCAGCCCCCGCGGAAGAGCGAGAAGGGCCCTCGGAAGAGGAGCAGGTCGACGTTGAGCGCCAGGCCGCGGCTGAGGAAGGCCAGGCTGCCCCCCCAGGGCAGCGCGCAGCGCGCCGGCAGCAGGCCCTTGTTGGCCAGCGCCACCTGGTAGTTGGTGTAGCGCAGGATGCGGTGGTGGACGTCCAGCTCGGTCAGCGGCCGCGGCTGCACGCACAGGCCCCCGCTCCTCTGCAGCGCCAGGAGGCGCGACTGCACCTCGGCCCAGGGCACGGAACTGAGCTCCTCCTGAGGACAGGGGCTGGTGAGTGCCGCGACCTGGATGCCTCTGCACGGTGATCCCCAAACTCACCATGACCAGAGCTGCAGCCAGAGCTAGCACCTCGGCCCCACCCCCCTTCCTCAAGTGGGAAACCTGTCACCACTCCGCCCTCCTTGCCCTTCCTTAACTGTGTCACTACCCAGGGGCCCTTCCTACTTCCTTTCATCCTCTTCTGCACTGTCCCACGTGGCCCTGCCACTCCCGAGGCCATGAGTCATGTGCTTCCCAGCAACACCTCATAAACTAAACTCTTCAGGTATTTGCTCTCAGCTCCTTCAGAGCAGATTTTCCTGAGCCTCCGGCCCTCACATCCTACACACGGAGGACACTGCGCGGCCTCAGTGCCCAGGGTGCCTGCCAACGCTCGCCTCGCCTCCACATGCTTCCAGGCGGCCAGCCCCATCTCATGCCAGCCCCATCCCCACAGTAACCTTCCTAAGACTCTGCTGTGTCCATGTCTGGGGTGGGGCCGTCAGATCTCACTTGGATCTCCTCTGCAAGCCTCATGTTAGCCCAAATCACCCAGCTGCCCCGTCCGCTTAGTCAAGTCCCTTTGGGCCAGCCTCTCCAGTCCATCCCAGGGCCTCCCCTACCCCTGGAAGGAAGAGGGGAGGAGGAAAATGAAGAGAGAGGAGAAAGAGAAGGGTGAGCAGTGCTCTGACTCCTGCCCTCGCTGCCTCTGCGGCCCTGGCCCTCCTGCCCTTCCCTGTGCTATGCCGAGGGAAGACCAAGGCGACTTCCTGGGACCTCTCCCGTGGCTGGACAGGAGGACATGCAGAAGGCCTAGACATCTAGGGGCAGCGAGGGAAGCTGGCTGCGGAAGGGAGCCTTGGGCAGTGCTTTAAAGGGAGGACTCAGACACAAAAGAAGGAGCGTGAGCAAGACAGGGAGGTAAGAAAGAGCAAAGCAGGACCCAGGGACAGTGACGGGGCCCATGCAGTTGCTGACTGCAACACGGGGCAAAGCCAGAACGGGGAGTGGATCACCCCGCAGGGCCTGGGCACAGGTGCAGGCGGTGGGTTGCTCTCCTCACTGCTGCCCACAGGTATTCACTGCCTGCCTGCTCCCTGCATCCGGGCGTGGCCTGCCTCCCGACCTCCTGTCCTTCCCAACCCCACCCCAGTTCCTCCTCCTGTAAACATCACAAGCACGTGACTGTACGTAATTTTCTATAACCCATCTAAATCCACTAGGCCTCACTAGAGTGGGGACCGTGTTTTATAAGTGGTGGTACCTCCTAAGATTATTCGGGGCCTAGAGTAGGTGTCAGTGAGGCCTTCTGCCAGCTTTCCAATGGGCCCTTCTGTCCGTACAGCCCCTACTCCTCCCCGGACTCTGCCCCATGACATGGCACCCCTCCACACAGACACCCCCACCCAGCTCACCGGGGGGATGTGCAGGGCCTCCCTGTAAAACACCTGGATGTCCCAGAAGCTGAAGAGGTTGCAGACTGAGCGAAGCAGCTGAACGAGCCAGAAGGCCGCAGCCAGGATCAGAAGGAAGACCAGCAGAGGGCTTGAGCGGATCCTGGGGGTGGAGGGTAACATAGCGAGAAAGTGGGACCCCCATGGAGAGGGAGACAAGACTTGGGGAGCAATGGGAAAGTCATGCAGGAGATCCAGCAAGACCAGCGGTTCTCAAAGTGTGGGGTGTCTGGCGGTCCTTGAGACCCTTGAAAATGTCTGCAAGGTAAAACTTTTTTTCAGGTAATACTAATGTTTCTGCCACTTTTCTTCTCATTCTTTCACGAACATAGAGTTTTCCAGAGACTGCACTGACAGCCAATGGAATGTGTGCTCTTAGGTTCTGCAGCTGTCCTCAGCTTTAATCTCTAATGAGGTAACTATAGATATGACTCTCATAAGCAAAAGTTCCTGGAGTTCTCAATAAATTTCAAGGGTATAAAACAGGGGTGGGGAACCTTTTTCTGCCAATGGCCATTTGGATATTTATAACATCATTTGCAAGGCCATACAAAATTATTAACTTAAAAATTAGCCTGCTATATTTGGTCAAACATTTAATTAACTCACCCCTAATGCCTTGGCAGGCCAGACCAAATGATTTCACTGGCCTTATACGGCCCGTGGGCCAGACGTTCCTCACCCCTGGAATACAAGGTACAGTATTCTGGGACCCAAACCTTGGAGAACCGATGATCAAGCCCAGGGACAAAAAACAGGTGGCTCTTGTCTGCTCCTCTCCCTCTCCCACCCCCACCAGATGTCACTCACCGCTGGGCACACTGGGACGAGGGTAGGATGGCATCTGACAAAGTCACTTTGCTGTGAGGCAGCCCAGGTCTTGTTTGGTTGTTTGGTTGGTTGGCAAAGAGAATGTTGTAATCCACACAGCGAAGAAGGAAGGTCGTGAAGGTGATGATGAAAACAAATTGCCTGGAGAGCCGGGAGTTCAGTGATTAGCCTGAGAGCAGAGGGGCTGCTGCCCAGCCTCCAGGCCAGCTCAGTCTGCCTCCCCGCTTGGCTGAGCCCCTGGCTGCTTGGGGAGGCTCTGGGTGGGCTAGAAGCACAGGGGCTACCAGGACAAGCATCTCACCCCAGCTGGAAGACATCCTCCAGCAGGATACAGGCAAAGCCATTCCGCTGGTGGTAGCTGTAGATGTGGCAGGTGTGTCAAGAAATAATCCTGAGACATGATGGGCCTTCCCTGAGCATACCTTCCCCTCACTCCCCCAACCCCTGCACCCTCAGAGTCCCCGGCCAAGGATGGCGCCTGCCCTGCCAAGTCCACTACAAAGGATATCTTGGTGAAGAAGCTGTCCAGGTCCTGAATGTGGTGCCAGGAGCCTGGGCACAGAGAGAAGAGCGTTAGGACTCAGCTCTCATCTAAGCAAGCTTTCCACACTCTCAACCTGCTGGCTCGATCCCCAGGCCCTCCCCAACCCACACCCCCCACCACCCCACACCCACATGCTCACCTCGGAGCCCTTCAGGCACATGAAGCAGGGGCTGCTGCTCCTCCCCATGGAGGGGTGAGTCTTGGGACCCCTCAGGGTCACAGTCCTCCAGCCGCTCATAATCCTGCTCAGGGATCAGAGGGCCTATCCGCAGCCCAGGATTGTCCTGGGGGCATCGGCGTGAAGGAGGGGCAGTCACCGAAGCCAGGGGTGGGGTGGAATGGGAACCCCAGGAGGGAGGAGCAGTGATGGGTGTCATCACAAGCTCTACCTGTGTTGGGGGTGTGGCTGGGGTGGGGAGGGCCCTGTGTGGAGGCTGAGAAGCTCCTGGGGTCTGTACAGCTGGGCAGGAGGGCCCCAGGACGGGGGGAGGAACTGAAGAAGGCACACTTCTCGTGTGAGGAGCAGGGGACAGAGAGAAGATGGAGAGCCTCCCTCCCCCAGGCCCCCGACACGGAGGAGGAGGAAGAGGAGGCAGTGGCATGGGGAGGAGGGGCACTGATCCAGGCCCCAGGTCTCCCCATTGCCCCAGCTGCCCCCTGCTCCTCCCCCAGCCCATTCGCCTCACCATCAGGTTGGTGGCTTCTCCTGAAAGTTTGGAAGGATGGCAGCCGCTGCTGCTCCCACAGAGGTTTGAGGAGCTGAGCAGGAACTTTGACAAGACAGTGACAACAACACAGTGACTCAGTGGGGGCAGGCCCCAGGCGTCCCAGCTCCCAGTCACCTATATAAGCACTCACACCCCCTTCCAGGACAACCTTCCAGGACAACCTGCAACTCCGCCTCCATACCTGGGCGGGGCATCAGCCGAAGGGGCGGAGGCTGAAGAACAGACCAGAGGAGACATCTAGTGTCCCATCCTCAGACCTCAACAGGACCTCAACAGGATTTGAAGGGGAGTCTAGAGAGTAGCAGCCAAAATAACAAAAGCAAAACGAAAACCCATCAAAGAAGATTATAGGACTATGGGGCCAAGATATTACATCTTTGATTTCTTAAAATCATGTCTTCTCTCCCTACACACACACACACACACACACACACACACACACAAAGTGATCAACAGAGAAATGCTTTAAGACCAAAAACAGGAAGGAAGGAAAGGAAAGGCTGCCTATTTTGTCTGATAGTACTCAGGAAGGGAAGAGGGGAGACTGCCCGACTTCGCATCCAGGTTAGGGGACACTGAAAGGAAGGAAGGGAAGAAAGGAGAGGCAGCTATTTTGTATGTGAGCTTACAGTAGAAAAGCGGGGTTCCTTGGGAGTTCCATTATGCTTACTTCTTTATCCTCTTGAACAATGATACCCTCTCCCCCAAGCCCTGATCCAGTTTTTTAGGCCCTGAGAAGCATCAGGACTGAACCAACAGAGGGAAGCTAGGGGCCAAGGATTTGGAACAATAATTTGGATAACAAGGAATGAATTGACTGAGTTGTGTTCTTTGTTGCCACGTCAGTGAGGAGGAGGAGGCAGCTGGCCTGGTGGCTTGTCCAACGCCATTCTTGAGGTCCTGAATCACCAGGTTTCCTCCTGAAGCCCATGCCTGAGTTGCTGACTCAGCCACCAGGTGTCAGGCCTCCTGGGCTTAGGGTAAGGGCTGACGTAGGGGCCAGTGTCCATGAAATGGAGAGTGGAACAGATTGTTCACTGGAAGAATATGGAGGCTATCACAGAATTGCCCACAACTTTTGAGTCCAGATATGCCCGTTTCTCCTTCTGTGCCTCCTTCCGGGGACAACTGTCATCCTAGCCCAGGACTTGCATAGTTTTATCCCTGATCAGGAGGCAGAGCTATGGAAACAAGACTTGTCCTTTCTAGAGATGTCATACTAGTGCCCCAAATGGAATCCCACATTGTAGAGGGGATAGGAATTCCCCATGAACTCTCAGAGACATCTGTCCAGATGGATCCTGTGGGGTTTCATCTGTTCTCCCCTCAACCTCAATATTTTGCTACATTCACTATAGGACCCCTCCCACCCACCCTCTCCGTATGCCCAGCCCAACCTCAGACTAAACCTTTTCTTACCGAGTGCCACCCCACATTCATCCATTTACAGTCTCCCTACCACCACCCCCAGTTCAAGTCAATATAAAGGGCACTTTTCCCTGACAGGCATTTGAAGGGGATGGGGGCACGGATGAATGAGACAGAGCCACTACTGAAAAAGAAGTCGCAGCCAGTGGGGGAAGCAGCTACGCAAACAAAAAATGACACGGAAGAAGTAAGCGCTAAACAGGTTCAAGAGCTGTGCTAAGGTGAGAGCCTTAGTCAGCCTGACCTGCGGGGAGGAAGACATCTGTGGGGAGATGCGTCTGACGTCATGCCTTGATAAGCCACCAGACCTCGATATCAGTGGCTCTCAATCATGGAGTAGAGGGAGCGTATCAAAACCACTCGGGGAGTTTTTTCTCAATTATACATGGCTCCGTTCCGGAGCTCTGACCAGCCCAGGACCGTGGTCGGCAAACTGCGGCTCTCGAGCCATATGCGGCTCTTTGGCCCCTTGAGTGTGGCTCTTCCTAAGCCTTAGGAGTACCCTAATTAAGTTAATAACAATGTACCTACCTATATAGTTTAAGTTTAAAAAATTTGGCTCTCAAAAGAAATTTCAATCGTTGTAGTGTTGATATTTAGCTCTGTTGACTAATGAGTTTGCCAACCACTGGCTAGGAGAGCGGGGTGGGTGGCAAGGCACGTGCACTTGTTTTGAAAAAGAACTCCGCAGCGGACTTTTGTCCCTTCTTTTCCCAGCGCCAGCGCTCTACACTCCCAGGAGACCCGGGGAGCTCTAGAGTCCTCTGGGAGCGCGGATAGAACAGCAGGGAGGGCTGCGGCTGACGCGTTACTATGGATACCCCGGGGCAGGGGACGCACTGAGCACACTCAAAACTTCCACCCAGAGTCCCGTCAGGCCTCTGGCCACGGCACTGCCCCAACCTGCTCTGCCCCGCCCACAGCCTGGGCGGGGCAGGTGGCTCTCTCCAATCACAGTTCCGGAGGGAGAACTGACAACGTTCTCCCCAATCATAGCCTGCAACGACATTGATGCCTCTTTCCTCCAATCAGCACCGAGTCGCGAGGGGGTTGTCGGGATGGTGGCCGGAGCCAACATGGAGTCCTTAGTAGGATAAGGGTGAAACTGCTGTTGCTGGCTGCTCCTGTTCTTCCCCCCATCATGTTGGTGCACTTATTTCGGGTCGGGATTCGGGGAGGTACTGTCCTAGGCAGGCCGCTACTCCCCCTCCGTTTCCAGACATTCTCGACCGTCAGGTAAAGAAAAGACCTACTGAGAGCGCGGGGCCATTGACCGGCTGGCAGGGCGACGGAGCCGCCGGGAGTTGGAGTCCCGGGCTCGCCCGAGGCCTGCTGGGAGTTGTAGTCCGACCGGGCCAAGGGTGGAATGTCACTCCCCGGAGAACTGGCCTCAATTATTCATAACGATGAGCCTGGTGCCTGCAGGAGGCTCCGCGCATCTGTGTCCGCGTGGGGGCCGACTGAGGGAACGCTCTGGGTCCGCGACCACGCCCGACCCGCTCTCCCTCCCCACCAGGGGGCGCGGAGCTGCACAGGTGTTGGCCCTTCGGTGCTGTTCCGGCCCTGTCCTCTTGTAATTAATTGGTCTGGCAATTTGGATAAAATTTATTCGGCTGCAGGCCCTGGCTTCAGCCTCAAGTTCTGAAGTTCAGAATGGACCCCAGAACAACCCTTCTGTAGGCAGCGTCTGGGTCAGACCCAGGTCCTGCCTCAGCGACGCAGCTGCCGCAGCCTGGGCTGCAGTAAATAGTGACCTCGAGTCTTGGACTGCTGGTCTTGTTTGGTTTTCCACGGTTGTTTTATTTTGTTTTCTATTTTATCTTGGCTTGTAAATGTGTAGAATTAAATCATATTTCCTTGTGGGGGAAAAATGAGTCGTGTCCAGAGACACTTTAGTGGTGCTCCCAAGATTCAAAGTGAGCTGAACAAAAATGGTTCCTAGATGCGGGTACTTTCAGCAAAGACAGGCAGAATAGTAAGTTGTCCATGTGTGTTCTTGTATGTTCACTGTGCACACATGGGTCCAAAGAGAGAGAAAGAGAGGGGTGGGAAACGAAGAGGACCCCGAACGGAGACTCCAGTGTGAATGCTTTATGAGAAGGCACTGGTTCCTTGTGACCCTGGAGTGAATGATCTGAGGGTCGAGCAGCAGCAGATTGCCAGGGTGGGTGGATGTGGACTTGTGCTTTGGTAAATCCATCCGATTGATACAGGGCAGGGGCCGGGTGGAGCTGGAGCCAGAAGTACCGGTGCTGGGAAGTAGCCTGCGAGTTCTGGGCAGTGACCAAGCCCTGCTTAGAGCCTTAGTTTGGAGAAGATAAGAAAAGCTGGAGCCCAGCGGGTGTGGCTCAGGGGTTGAGTGTCGACCTATGAACCGAACCAGGAGGTCAGGATTGGATTCTGGCCAGGGCACATGCCTGGCCTGTGGATTGAATCCTCAGTAGGGGGCGTGCAGGAGGCAGCCGATCAATGATTCTCTCTCATCCTTAATATTTCTATCTCCCCCTCCTTTCCTCTCTCTGAAATCAATTTTAAAAAATCAACATATTAAAGAAAAGCTGGAAAGTGTCCATGGTAAATTATTAAAAGGTTTGAACAATCAGTAGGAAAAGAATAAGGCTATTAGTATAATTTAAGCCAAAGAGAAACCCAAGGAAAGAGAACCAATAATATTCAAGTATTTGTTCGTGCTTTTGTGCAGTGTTTTCCAAATGTTCAAGTTATAACACAGTAGATCATAAAATGAACTTAATGAGTTGGAACCATTTAAAAGTGAATATAATAGAAAATAGAATACATATTTAAAAATAGAGAAAGTATCATTTTGTGAAGCATTTCAACTTTGTGTGACATATTTATGTTCCGTACTGGGTTACTTTGTAAAATGAATTTTTTACTGTTGGCCTCAGTAAATCTGAAACTTTGCAAACCCCGAAGTTGTGTGTTAGGTCCGGTTGTTCTGCATTTCTAATGAGGGCATTCACTCAACAAACATTTTTTAAACATCCATTATGTTCCTGAGCACTGCTAAGTGGTGAGGATGCGATGGGGAATAATACGAGTTTCCTAGGATAGTCTAATGGGGAAGTTGGACAGTTACACAGGGCAGAAGGAGAGTGAGCTTCTCTATTTACACTTAGGATAGCCCTGGCTGGTGTGCTCAGTGGTTAGGTCATCGGCCTGAGCACCAAAGGGTGGAGGGTTCAATTCCTGGTCAAGGGCATGTACCTGGGTTGCAGGTTTGATCCCTGGGCCCCAGTCCCTGGTTGGGGCGAGTGTGGGAGGCAACCAATCAATGTAGGATTTTTCTCTCTCCACTCCTGCTCTCTAAAAATCAATGGAAAAAATATCCTCAGGATATTAACCAAAAAAAAAAACACCTGAGGACAGACATAAATTACACAGTGAAAACAAGACCTGAAAACCGGGAAGGTGGAAAGGGGTGAGTGGAGGCATAAGGTAGAGGTGGCAAGGAGCATGGGCCTCCTGCAAGAAGGGAAGGTTGAGGTGAAGTCTGCAGTTAGGAGGGCCTG